AGAGCTGACAGACTTCTAAACATTTTGTTAAAAGAGGAGGGTGGTTGGTGCCCTTACCTTGTTCGATCTATAGAATGAAAATACAAGAGGCTTATAGTGGGAGACAATACAAATGAGTGGGAGAATACAAATGAGAGAACAATGTGTCAGGCTTTAAATCCCAGGCTTGATCTGTTTGCAGAGATTTAACCACCAACTATTTCAAGGAAATTGCTTGTGTTTTATTCATATGTATGAATGCAGCTAATACATTTTGGCGCTTAGCATTCATTTCTATAAGGTTTTTGCACAGTAGCTCTCAGACATCATGTCACTCAAGCAAGATGTCCAGATCCACCAAGTTTTATTCATTCTGATAGAACTTTGTTATCTGTTTAACAACAGTTACAAGAACATTCATACAAATGATCTATTTTAATATTTCCTTCAAACAGACTGTTATAACTCTTGCATGACAAGTAGGTAAAATGCATCACTTCTGGAAATCCGGTGTGTGCAAAGGCTTTGCCAAGTTCCATGTAACGAGGCTATTAGCTAGTTTCAATTTACCAGCCCAGATTATTCCATTAAATTTTAAATTTGGCAGTACTTTGGTGAACATCACGGCCAAAGCCTTATAAATGTGGGACTGATTTTATTTTGTTTATAAGAGCTTACATGCAGAAAAGTATCAGATATTGAATGTTTCAAATATCTTATTATAAAGTAACTGGCATCATTGAAACTCACTGTCAACACATTTTAAAATTTCAGATACAGTTTATCATATAAATATAATTTAAAAGATTCCAGGTTCGTATCAAATTTGAGATTTTTATGAAACAAGCGATGATCATAATCCATTAGTATTCTTCAGTCTTAACAATGAACATATTAGCGGCTGGCCCTGGACCGAAAATGAACAGAAATGGAGCAGCACATAATCTCTTCTAGCTGGAGAGAAATTGAATTTTATACAATTTATATTCACTGAAAGGCTTTAGCTCTGTTTAAATAATGTAGGTAGTATTTTGACACAGCTTACTTTATATAGGGTCAATTTATGGCCTGCATTTATTTGCACTTTAAAGTCAATTAATCGTTTCTCCATGTAGATGTGGAAAATGCATAGTGTTTTCACTTAATCAAAAAATAATCTTTCCCCTGAGGGGATTCATCGACTTCACTGTGCTCAAGGACACTTCAGCAGGCAGACTGAAGCGTGTTGCTGCAGGGCCAGATCCTGTGTCTCCCTGGACCTTGTGGCTCTCAGCACACTTTCTAATCACAAGGCCATCCTGTCAACTTGTCAATGCACATTTCTGAGGTGCGCACATTGCCCTAAGCAACAACTAGGCCAAGATAGTGGGTGACATGTTAGCCTTGACTCTTTGTCTCCTCCGGGACCCTGAGCAGTCACTTGTAGAATGCGTTAGGGATGTGCAGCTTGGCGTGTGGAACTCCAGGGCATTTGGATAGACTAGTAATCCACGGGGAAGGTGCACACTATGGCTCCACGTGCCGTTAAGCTGCTTAATCCCTCTGTAATTAGTGCTGTGTGTAGTAAAAACACTAGAGGAGGCAGGAGGAACAGGCCGACAGGTTTAAACTGCACCACCTGAGGTTGTCGGTTTCACCAGCGGCGAGGTGAGAGACTATTGCTCTCCCCAGAGATATAAAAAGAAAGCTCACACTCTTTATTATCTTCTCGGTGCAGTAATGGGCAGCACAGTTGGTCACTTTTATGGACAGGAAGTGGCAGATGACATCTGGAGGTAAAAATGATGAAGAATGTCAGTTACTCACTGACAGCAAAGACAAAAGGAGAAACTCATTCTTTGGGTGTGAGTGGGAGTTGGTGTCATTAAGAATATTCAGAAAGGTTCATCAGAGAACACAATGCTGCTCAAATGCATCACAGTGAATTACAACAGGAAGTGTGGCATCTTCTTGCCTCCTGTGTTCATAATAAGGTAGAGGGAGCCCCCCTGTGGACAACTGGAGTTTTGTCCATTTTCTTTCTTTAAACAGTAGCTTATATCAGTAATATTTGCTGTGTATAATATTTGATTATAATAATAATTTCATAAAATACAACATAATTTAAATGGTAAAAGAACAGGATAAAAAATAGAAAAAAATAAAAGCCAATGGGTAAAAGCAAAAGTGTTGAGCCTTCATGTTTGTTTCAGTGAGACCAAGTGTGAATTTCAGAGTAAAACACAGAAGTGGATTATAACTGGACTGTGTTACTGTGTTTGTGTGTGTGTTTGCAGGTCTTCTGGTGTATGTGGCCATGATGGTAGGGGCACTGGTGTGGGGGGGACTGAGTGATAAGATGGGCAGGAGGAAGTGTCTGATCTACGTGCTGACCATCGACCTGGTCTTCTCCTTCCTGTCCTGCTTCGCTCAGAGCTACGGCTTCTTCCTCTTCTTCAGGTTCTGCTCAGGCTTCGGGTAAAAACACTTTTTTTTCATTTATGTTTCCATTTTCAGGAGCCAGTTTAAACGTAGGCTTTTTAAACTGGCAGATCTTTTCCATGAGTTGTGTAAATGTTTCAGTAGAAACAAGTCAGACGGGGCCTCAAACATCCTTTTGTTTGTGTTGTGCTATTTGCTCCAAAATAAGATACTTGACATTTAAGTATAATGATGAGAAATGGTCTGTGTCTAGATGACCACTCAGAGTGTTTTATACTCTTTTTTTGCCGTTCGTTCACACACACATTCATGCAGTGCATGTATGTGCAGCACTTTCTCTATCATACATCACTCAAATTGCCTCAAACACGCAGCCATCAGGGCCAATTAGCCGTTCAGTATCTGAACATAGGTACCTTCATTAAAGATGCAGTTCCTCAGGAACATGGCTGGAGACAGTAAATATTCTGAACACAACATTCAGCTCACTACAGTTTTTTCTCATTAATATAACATACGTACATTAAACAGTCTCGATATTTCTGTTATTATTCTGATATTATGTTTAGTACATTCTAACTAAATAGAGTTATTCCTTGCTTCACATGAAGGGTTAGAGCCTGTGGCCGAGAGCTCTGATATAAACCAGTCACTTTGCTTCATGCTGCATCACACACTCGCTCTGTTTTAGCAAAATATATGGTTATTTACTTATTCTTATTCCCATCCTACTCAAAACAAGCTCATTATTTGTGTCTCATTGCCGCCGCCCCCCGCCCCCCTGGGATTAGGTCTGACAGCACTTCCTCTGCTATTATGCAGCCAAAATAATGCTGATCCATCGGTTCCATCCACACGAGAAAATGCAGAGAAGCGTTGTTCTGCGTTGTTTGTCCTCGTGTCGTGTTTGTCCAGATGATGCATGACAATTACACACAACAAAGGATGTTTTTTTTATGCAGCTTTTAAACGTTTAAGCTGTCATGTGCTACATGTTGGAACACATCACTGCACAGTCACATACTGTGTTAATGTATTAGTACCAACTCAAAGACATGCTGACTGTACGCTGCACAACAGGAGAAATCTGCTTATTCACCGTAACAGAGCATTTCTTTATGAGACTAATTAAAACCAGAGAACACTCATCTGATGAGCTTGTTTTTTATGTTAGTTTTATTGCTGTGTTCCTGCTGTCGCCAGCACCTTGGGTGAAACCTTTGTGCACACTTGCCTCTGCAGCTCTCAAAGACACATTTCTTTTGATAATGACTGCAGAGTATACCCAGACCTGCAATCCTGATGTTTGAGCTTTTTGCTTGGACACATATAAAAACACAAGGTCACCAAAATTAAATGTTCAGCTGTTGCTGATTCGCAGTGATAATGAGCCTCATGTTACTTGTAAATGCTCACATCTGCAAAAGACTTTAACTGGCCTCACAAAACACAAGGAGCTGTCAGGCTCAACTGCTATTTGAGAAGATCCTCATAATAAAAGAGAGAGATCTGTGGACCAAAGGGCCGGTGATCATCTTGATGTTAAAGGTTCAGTGTGTAGAGTTTAGGGACATCTTGTGGTTGAGCTGCATATTGCAGCTGTATATCCCTCACCTGACCCACCCCTTCCAAACAGGAAAGAGAACCTGTGGTAACCTTTAGTCATCATAAAAACTCAAAAGGTGTCTCGATATTATTATAACATATTTGAATATAATGTATTTAAATACAAAGGGCTCATTCTAGAGGTAAGAAAACAACAATTTGTAAAAATGTAGAGGATTAATACACACTAGTAAAAACGTCATTTAAATTATTATCAAATTTCTGCAAATAAATCCCTTCCACCTAAATCTTACACAGTGACCCTTTAAACATGTTTCACTTATAGATATCAAATTCAACATCTATATTGTAAAAGACACAAAGAGGACGTATTTTTACACTCAGCTCTAAATAGAAGCTTTTAATGGGAACTTGTCGAGAGTTACACATTTTTCACTGCGTGTTAATCTCTCATCAGAGCATAACACCACTTTTTAGCCGATGCAGACATTTTTATGAATAATCAGCCAATTATTTGTATTTCTGACGCACTTAATACTTTTTTCCCCTCTTTGTTATCATGCAAATATAATAAAGCACTGTCAAGGTGTTGAAACGCTTCCAACACATAAATACTAAACATTTCTTTGCAGCGTCCATGTTTTCCAAATTCTGACTTCAAAGCACATGAACTCACTTAAATTTGAACAACAACCTCCACAATAATTTATATTCAGGTAGAAATATCAGAGACAGAGAAATCTGGATTAAATAAAACAAAATTGTCTGCATGTTGAGATACCCAGTGGTGAGTGAAAAATCAGTGAGTGAGGATCCTTGTAGTGAAGACAAAAATGAAAGAATGTCAAACATTAAAAGCAACTGATGGGAAAGAGCTCAAATACCAGAGATCGTAGTAAAAGTTCCTCAGAAGATACTGGATGATTTACATATATAAATAAAAGATTCTCAGACATCTCATGATTCCTCCTCCAGAATTGGCGGCTCCATCCCGATAGTGTACACCTACTTCACTGAGTTCCTGCAGATGGATAAACGTGGAGAACATCTGAGCTGGCTCTGCATGTTCTGGATGCTGGGAGGCCTTTACGCCTCCTTCACTGCCTGGGGAATCATCCCTCACTATGGTAACACACATGCACACACACACACACACAGAATATTGAGGCACATGAAGGCACACAGACGTTCAAATAAACCAAACATAAACTGGGAAAACAGAGATAATGTAATGTTTATTTGACTTTTAATTAAAATTCAAATAACTGCAGGAGCTCCCTGAAATGTCAGCCTTCTTCCTTCAGTCTGCACGAACAACAGGATGCAGCTAAATTAATTTCTGAGCTCAGCTCTGTGCCTGCTAATACACCTCATCTTAAGAAGTTATCTCTGCAATTACTGGCTGTATATGAATAATTCATATTAAAACAAATGAACGACTTGGACCAGAAAAATAATTTTATGGAACTGACACAGGCCCACGGTTGCTCGTGTGTTAACTGTCAGCTTTATAATCAATGCAATCACTCAGATGCAAATGACTCATGGGAAAATAAACTGGTGCATAGCAGACGTTTTGTACATAAAATATAACAAGATGTTTTTTGTGCTTTAATTTGTTCCTTACTGGATGTTTGGTTTTCAGGTTGGGGCTTTGCCATCGGTACAGAGATCCAGATGCACACCTGGAGGATGTTTATCCTGGTGTGCCTCCTCCCCGTGCTCGCTGCTCTCATCGGAGTCGTCTTCATGCCGGAGAGCCCACGGTTCCTCCTGGAGGTTAGACACTGGACCATCTCAGATTGATATAAGAGCTGCATCCTAATATTCACGATGTGAGGGTACAGTATTAAACATCAGGCTGTGATTGGTTAAAAATGTTGAGTCATCAGCCACCAGAGCAACATGCCACTGCTGTGCAAAGGTAGCGAAGGGCTGCTAAGACAACACCAGAACACCACCCACCCCTGTTTCTCATCCAGGACATTGTCAGAGCTGTAACCACATGTAGTATTGTGTTTGTATGTTACTGCTCCGACATGTTCATATCACACACCCCCAAATTATCACACGTCGCCCATTTCTGATAAGCGGCAGACCTCATGAGAACCCCTGGCTACACGGTATGTGGGAAAGTTAGTCGGCAAACACAAAGCCATTTCAAAAATAGTTGTTCTTATAAAAAGTAAATAACATCATTTCCACTAAACATATATAAAACACTGGTGATGTAGACATTCATCAGTAAAATATTTGTGTGGGATTTTTCTGTCTGTTTCTTTTCAGAATGCCCGTCATGACGAGGCGTGGATGATCCTGAGACGAGTTCACGACACTAACTGGAAGGCCAAGGGGGAGCCAGAGAGAGTTTTCACTGTAAGGCTCTGTGTTTATACTGTCTATGTACGGCTTATTATGTGCCTCATCATAGGAAGTGCTATGAATAAGTTTCATTCACCCAAATTAATGAGCAATCATCCACAAAAAAAACCAAAAAAGAGTTTTTTCAGGGCAGCATCGCAGCCCAAATGCAGATAAATAGAAAACTGCAAGTGCTGGAATATATTTAGTCAAAAATAAATGCTTACATTCAGGAGGCTGGAAGGTTAGGAAACACAGGTGATACAAAAAGTGAAGCTGGAGTGAACCAGAGCAAACTGAATACACCAGCTAACAAAGACCAAAGCTGTTTTCAGACATGACCTCTGGAGGAAGTCAGCAGAATTGGCTCCTGACAGTTTCTCTTTCACACGTGAACAATGCAGCAGGTGATTCTCACTGAGACACATTCTCAACACAGAAATCTGTGGAGCCTGCAGGCGAGGTGCGGTGCAGCAGGCAGGATGTATCGTGTTCATTTTGCGGCAGAGAACGTGCGTTTTTTTGTTTTTTGAGAACTCCAAGAGTTCAGTGCATGTCTGAAATCAGCTAAAGGGAAACACAGAAACTTTATAGACAAGGGAGGCGACACAGGTGAAACACATTTGGACAGGTGCAGGCAATCTCAAGACAGGAAATGGGACAAAAACAGGAAGTAAAGCAAGGGAGACACGTAAGTTTCACAATAAAACAGAAAATTAAGAACTCAGAGTGCACACACTAACACAGTGCAAATCCTGAAATCCAAACACAAGGAAAACAACATAAGAAATCAATACAAGAGAAAGCCTTTCTAAAAGTTCGATGACATAAACAGTCTTTCAAACGTTCAGAAGAGGGGCTCAATCATGACCCCAGAGTGTCATTAATAACAGTGATGGTGGCTGCATGCTGCCTCACTGATGCACTGTTAATGTAAATGTAAATGTAGCTGTCATTCACGTCAGTCATTACACATGTGTTTCTCCCACTGTGACAAATGTCTGCTGTGAAAAAGGTAGTAGCATTGCAAAGTCAAAGATTGACCGTCTATATGTATGTGCCTTTAATGCAGCACAGTAGATTCATTTCTCATGTAATGAATGTCCCAATGAACACACTGTACTGTACTACATGGTGTGTGTATATGGTATTCATTTAAACCAGTGTTAAAAGGGGTTTGGGGAAAAATAAAGAAAGAGGTTAAGGCCTGTAATAATCCTAAAAAATAATGAAGAGGACAGTTTTAACCATATGTTCCCACTTGTGTCTCTATGTGAAGGTGACAAACATTAAGACTCCGCAGACGCAAGAGGACGAGTTCATAGAGATCCAGAGCGACACCGGCACAGCCTTCCAACGCTGGACCGTCAGACACATGACCATGCTGCAACAGGTCTGCAAATCATAAGTGGACGTTTGCAGTGCTTATCTCACCAAAACATATCCACGTTTTTGCCACTTTGTGTAACGGAATGTCTTTCCATCCTCCAGGTGATGGCTAACATCATGTCATTATCAGCTCCAGAGCTCAGACTGCAAGGCCTCTTCCTGGTTATTGTCTGGTTCTGTTTGGCCTTCAGGTAAAAATTTGCAATTTAACCCATGCTGACATCTGGGCTTTGAAACCTTTTAGAATATAATTGTAGATTCACATCATATTCATGCATTTTCAGAATATCCCGAACACAGCCTCTCTAAGGCAAAGATAATCTGAAGATAGAAAGAATCTCACTGCTATAATACTTTGTCTCTAGTGTTAAGTCTTGTCAAATGTCCTGATTCTATATGCATTAGCTACCACGGACTGGGCGTTTGGTTCCCTGATATGATCAAGTACATGCAGTACGAAGAGTATGAGTCCAAGGTTCGAGTGTTCCACCGGGAACGGGTCGAACGCTTCCACTTCAACTTCTCTCTCGTCAACCAAATACACCGCGAGGGAGAGTACATCCATGACAAGTAGGCGCTCTCACCCCCCCCCCCCCTTCAATATGTCACAATCTGTTTAGTCACCATTAGTTTCTGCTGCTGCTTAGTGTCCTTTCTTTCTTTTTTCCTTTAGGTTTGCAAACATTGAGATAAAGTCTGTGAAGTTTGAGGATTCTCTATTTGAGAACTGCTACTTTGAAGATGTCAGGTCGACTAACACCTTCTTTGAGAACTGTACCTTCAAAAGCACCGTCTTCTACAACACAGGTAGTCAGCGCAAAGACTTAGTAATGAATGGTTGTAAAGTGGTTTTAGTGACACTTTTGAAACACTGAGGGCCGGAGTTACTAAAAGATTAACACTGCACTAAAACAGTCATCTGCTAAGTATCTACAATTTGGCACGTGCTTATCCTCTACCACTAAAATAAGTGTGAAATAAGTCAATATTCTGTAAGCATCACCTCCTTCTTCATCTTTCTCTTCTCTCCAGACCTCTGGCAGGAAAAGTTCAAAGACTGTCGAATGGAGAACACCACCTTCCTCCACCCGAAGAAAGGCTGCCATCTGAACTTCCAGGAGGAGAATGACATCGTCATCTACATGGTCAGCTTCCTGGGCAGTTTGGCTGTGTTGCCTGGCAACATCCTGTCAGCATTATTCATGGACAAGATAGGAAGGATCAGAATAATAGGTGAGGTCATCGGAAAGTGCCAGTACAGTAGACGTACAGTAATGTAGGGCAGATAGAGTTTTTGCTCTAACTGTTTAAGTGATTAATCTGTCTGTCTGTCTGTGTGTCTTTCTGTGTCTAGGTGGTTCTATGCTGGCATCGTCTGCCTGTACCTTCCTGCTGCTGTTAAGTTTCAGTCAAGGAGCTGTAATATGTTGGCAGTGTCTCTTCTACGGTGCCAGTGTAGCAGCCTGGAATGGACTTGAGGTTATTTCTGTGGAACTCTATCCAGCCGCTAAAAGGTACAGATAGGTGTTTAGCAAACGTAGCTTTATTGAGCCTCCTCTTAACTCCTAATTTATCTCAGAAGTGGCCATTTAAAACTATGCATCTAATCTTTTTTCTTTCTTCTGACTTGACAGAGGGACAGCGTTCGGTATCCTGAATGGAATCTGCAAGTTTGCAGCCATTATTGCCAGCTTTATCTTTGCAGCCTTCATCGGCGTTACCAAGATCATCCCCATCTTCCTGGCCTTCGCCGCCCTCGTCTGTGGAGGTCTGGTGGCTCTCAAGTTGCCCGAAACCCGGGAAAAAATCCTGTCTTGAAAAGCCAAACTCCTGCAGCCTCCAGGCCCCAAACACAGTCTAGCTATGGGGAAAGCTTTGGTGGAAAAGTATCACATTTAACTGAAGTGAAAAGACAAGAAACAAAGGCCACACTGTGCTTGCTGTGTTTATCAGTCTGTCATGGTTATACTGTATGAGTAAAGTGTTGGAAAAAATACCTGTTTGGTTGCCTACATGGGCCTTAGGTGGCTTCCTGACCCCTCAGTGAGCCCCTCAGGCTGCCCAGCTTTTCTGACACATTGTACCAAACTAGTGTTTGTCATTTCCTTTTCATTATTTACTGCCGTCCCTCTATGCACACACACGTACACACAGCGTAGCAACCTTTGTTTTGTTTGAGGTTTGTGTAAATGAAAGATTAATAAGAGATGAAATTGTGTCTGTACTTGAAAGGTGATGTAGTTCATTTTACCATGTTGTGCTTTGATTTCATTCCCTGCTGAAAACAAAAGGAGAGACAGAGGTATATAAGTTGTGATCATAACTGGAAATGGATTGGACGCCTCACTTCCGTGACTCAACAGCAATATCACTGCTGGTGTTGTTCAGAGAAAACACCGCTACCATCCACTCACTATTTATTTACTCTGCACTGTCCTGTGGTGTCTATAGTCTTCTTCATACATATTATTGCTTGGTTTGTTCTTTCTAGATAAAAACCTGTATCGACCCTTTTATTATATGTAGGAGGTCTTTTAGATCAAGTCAACTTCTGTTCATTTCTCCCACTTGATCCAAAATCCAACCCGAACAGCCGACTGCATTTCCCTCCTGTTTGTCTTTGTCTTGTCCTCAACTCTGAGACGTTTTGTCTGTCCTTAACTGTAGCACTGTGTTCTGTAGCTGGTGATAATAACGTAGACGTCTTATCTGTCACATCTTGCCATGACAAAATATAAGGAATTGTTCTGTTTGTTTATTGAATTTTTTTCTAAAATGACACAAAACTGTGAGATTAGATGTTTTGATATGATGCTCTCATTTTAACATTCTGATGAAGAACTGTTTTACAGAACCTGCCGCATTTCTGACAACACGTGTCAAGATTTCTAAGGAGCATGTAACTGTTTTTGGCGTGACTGAGTTGTGTGTGCATGTGTGGGGTTGTTATCCACATGTCTGTGAATTTAATGAAACACAATAGTCTGATTACCAATACTATATTTGTTGTTGTACATATTGTAGACCTGTGTATATTAGTTATAAAATAGTAGCTCCATCATGACTTGAATAAAAGCTGAGGGCTTGTGATCCAGTTTTTCCTGGTTAATGCAGAATGTGCATTGAAAACATAAAGTACTAACACACTTGAATGCTGTGAATGTCACACATTTTCAATTAAGATGAATGACTCCACTTCCTCCCACCCAGGTGCTGCCAACATTAGGAACCAGAGTCTGCACAGTAGTTATCATGGTACAAGCGTACAAGTGCCTTCCAATTGCAAGTCAGTCTCAGCTGTAAATCCTGATGTTTCACAAATAACCAAACTTGAGGGGAAAACGACTTTGGTGTTTATTTTGCCAAGCAAATGTAAAGACCCCATCAGATACATATTCACCTGCAGTGGCACAGACATACACCAACAAACAGCCATGCAAGTAAAAATGATTCAACTTGAGCAAAATATGTTCACGCATCCAAGGGCTTGACTTCATGGCGTTACAGAGAAAATAGAAAAAAGGAGACTGGAGGTGAATAATAGAAAGAGTTGGAGTTAAGGGTGAGTGCTGAGATCAGAGGCAGAGGTAGGACTTTGGATCTGTTGCCATAGCTATCAAAAGCTTTCTCTTTTTCTCTGTATTCACCTTGAGCTGTAGCTTTGTAACTTTTGGACAGAGAATGCGTGGTGTTTCACAAAGTTTCCAGTCTTTGTGGTTGCTGTTTGTAGACATATATGCATGCAGGTGGCCCCACACTACAGAATTGTTTTTGCAGATGTCTGGTCTGATTTGAACCACCACAAAGGTGTTTCTGCAAGTCTGACCGCATTTATTATCTGCTCAAATAATCCTGCAATGCGAAGGGTTTACTCATAAAATCTTAATGCGACTGACTGGATCAAAGTGTCTGATTTTGAATCATAAATAATCTTTCAGCTGTAACTTGCACTACAGCCTCTAACAAAAACCTTTATATGTAACTCACATGCTGCGCATGCTGTAAAATGCATTTTTAACTGCTTCTCCATCTTCTAAATCCTGACATAATCCACAGTTTTATCATAATTATCTTTTTTGGTTCAGATTAGTCTGCTGCCTACATGTTTGTTTCGCACTTAAGTCCTGTTTTTTATCATGCAAACTTTAATGAGATCCCAAATTCCTGCAACC